AAAGGATCGCTAACATATGTCTACATAGAGACGGTTATTTTGGTGTTGCAAGGCAATTTAATGTTTTATGACCCACCTTACCTAATAAAGTTGTGAAAGGTTTGTTCTTGTCTAGCCTACTAGTTCTATTTTTGGTTCTCCCATTCATCAACACCTCTCGGCTCTCGTGCTTGTCTCAGTTTAATCCTGGATGCACCACTGCGAGTGTGAGGATCCTTGAATATACCATTCATTCCACGCGCGTTTGACTTTTATACTCTGATGCACGCGCAAGGTATCCTGCAGAATTTGTTGCGTTGGCTGCTGCATCTGAGCTGCGCTTATAAGACCTCGAAAGAATGAAGTAGCATTCAGAGCTTGAAAGAGATCTTTTGGGTGGATAGATCTGATAGTGTTGAGTATCATTTCCTTGGGTTATGACATCACCGTTTTTAATGTAATTTCTTTAAATTACTAGGTATAATGCTCTCTGCATCATACCTCGGGGGTTCCAATACTATTTATTAGCGGCCACTTATTACCCACTTATTCTTGACGAGAACTGTATATACTTATTTCGGTTTATACATGCAAGCTCTTCTATGCGAACAGCGTTTTATTGAGGGCCCAAATTGGGGATTAGACCAGACTGTCCCAATTGTATGAATTAGGTTCAGTTTCAGGCTTGAGTTTCAAAAGACCTCTACTACTTTTGGGGGGTGTTAACACTTGAGCTCGTCCTTAGGGCTATGTGTATATATGTGTGTGTAGGAACCAGATACACAACTTATGGGAGAGTTTACATTAGTGGCTCCTTTTAACCTTGGTATAATGCCATGTCCTCTAGGAGATGGTTTCATGAGATACTTTATCTTAATATTAGAATGTATTTAATGATCCTGATGAAGATAATCAGATTAATAAGTTTCATTGTCGGGTTGTTTGTCTGGTACTCTGGAGGGTATGACATATGGAGTTATGAAAGAGCATCAAGGAGGGTGAACTAGCAGCGCTGCTATTGTCGTTCTTGATGATTGGTGAGGTTATCGTTAGTGGGGAATGTGTGGGGAGGGCGTCTGTTGCGTAAATCTCTGGGCTGATAATGAGATGGAGAGTTTTGTGGGAACTTGAATGAGGAGCGATTTTTTTGTTGGTTTTGTTGGCAACTTCTCATTCCTTTTACGGGGGAAACTCTTTCCCGGGTACTCTATAGTTCGCGAGGTGTGTGGGATTAAGGAGGATTCTCCTCTTCAGAGTCATTTCAAGCATAAAAGGAATATACGTACTTCGGAAGGTATACTTTTGGCCTTTACAAGGAACTTGTGGGCGAGCGGAAGAATCACCCTAAAAAGTTACGACTCTCTTTATCTTTAGGCTTCTTTTGGAACCTTATATGTGATTGAGTTTGTGTTTTGCCTCTTCTTAATTTTAGAGAAGGTCTTTATGTGATCGACTTTGTGTATTTGGGAGCTCTTTGCACTTTGGATTTTGCAGACTTCTGTGTGGGATCTATTGTGTGGCTTGGTCTAGGATGTTCCAATGTCTTCGTTTTTTTGTGTTTGTTTGTGGCAACTTTCTGGGACTATGAGACGTATACATTATTTATTTATTTGTGTGCGTTGCGCGTCCTTAGTGCTTGCTACGGTGTGACTTCGGACAACTGTGTGAAGTCGCTCTCTATAAGACTTAATTTACTCCTCGACGCAATGTCATTCTTCGCACTTTAATTAAGCTTTCCTACAAGGCGATTTTTCCATAACTTCATAGAGATATATATATTCTATCTTTCTATAATTTATTTGTTAAAATAAGGTACCGGCTCTCCTTTCGCGGACTCTAATTTTCTGAGAAGGCTAAAAGAACGTAGGAAGACATACCACCTCTTTACCTAAGCCGCCCTCTTTCGGGTTTATTCAAAGGCTATTATTCTCAGAAACTTGCGGAGGCCTCTTCCGAACGTTCTTTTTGAGCCGGTATGACCGCAACACTCTCTCTCAGGTATTATATTGTTTTTCGACTTAGGCATGCGGGTTAGAATTTACTCAATCATAAATCTTATTTAATTCTGTTTCTTAAATATAAATACCTTTTAATTATTATTTCAACTTTTTGGGACAATGTGAAAAGAATGGAATTTAGGGTGAGAATATAGGATTTTCTCCTCCCATCCACACATATACAGTGATTATAGATACGCGCTCCAAAAAATAAGAACTGCGTGATAAGTGACTGAGACCTAACACTAGTATTTCTATAACACGGGAATACAAGTAAAAACTACTCTTTTACATTTGTGCTAAGGCCTATGATATTCTTTCTGAGGGAGAATATCTAGGTATCCTAATAGTTTAGCTGCGCTCATGTTATTTAACATTTACAAAAAGAGTGCAGTACTTGTTCTCAATCAGTGTATTTACAACACGAAAATATCATTTTTTAACTTGATCTAAATGGTAAACCATTGATTATCAACGGGTGAATTCCAAAGACACCAACTCACACATAATTAAAATCTCAGTTTCAAAATGGACGGCTCCGCCAGGGACAATAGATATGTTTTGCGTCCAAATCGTGATCTAGCGTCTCCAAAGCCCAAACTGAAGGTAGCAGAAACTTCAAACACGATCGGAAGGTGCGACAGTCTCAAACAAATATAAGAGTTGGGCTGATTGAACCGTCTGTATTAGTGTGTGCCCTTCCAGGAAACCAAAAACAACCGTGCTTACCAGTGTCTTTCACTAGAGAGAGTGATCATTTGATGAAACCGTTATTAACTATAGAGATTATTTAAAATTTAATCTATTTGCTCACTTCTCTCTTTTCTCGTTGATGGTATCTGGCTCCACGCTCTGGAGGTTGTTGGAGTGAGTAGTGCACTGCGTACCACACAGAAAACGAGGTGAGGTACTTTTTCAATTTATCTGAAAAGGAAATTTAAATGGAATTTTTAGCTAGTTATTATCCCTAAATTACGCAAAGTGGGAACAACAATTTGTGCAATACACCATGGATCACAGCGAGAGATTGATTTTGAGTGCTTATCTGAGGAACACATACATTGATATATTGTGGTCTAGACTGATTAGTTAACTGACGTAGGGTTTTTAGAAGGAAAATGCTAGTGACCTTAGAACCAACATGAGTTATTTTCCCAAGAACCTATCACGTGGAGAGCTATCTGTTGAGGAAGTTCATTTCAATACCCGCTATCAATATTGACTTGGTTCTCCCCTTTTACATATGAACCAATTGGAGGAGACCAAAGTAGACTCACAGGACAGGACTATCGCTAAGAAGACTTGATATATTTTTGTTGAGCGCATCTGTGCATAAGAAGCTCTAGTATCGGGAAGGGAACATCCAATACATTAATATCAGTAGGAAGCGCGTGGATGGAAGTAAATGTTTCTCTCGTTTCAAATTTGCTGAATGGATTGCGCACTATTCGTCCGACAGCTTTGTTAGGTGAGAGGCTGAAGCCGACAGATACGCATATATTCCAACTCTTCATACTTCATTATACCATAATATTTTTTTGGCATCAAAAACTTGGAGGACCCTTAATCCCAGAATTGATTGGGAGTAAGCCTCCTCTCCAGGGAAAATCCTATTGCAGGACAAACTCTTTGACTTTTTTCCTTGTTTTACCTCTTAGAGGGCTGCTTCACTTTAAAATTCCCAGTGTCTACAATCCTGGCATAAGCATATACATAGTGACTGACGGGGCATTTCATGCTACTGGGTGACCAGTCGAAAAGTTTCAGTAACAATAACTTCGAGCGACTATATCGATTATGTGGAGGACGATATCCATTCTGTTGACCATAGCGAGAGATAGGAAGGAACATTGCGAAAGCTCACGACTCCAACCCCATTTCCATTGGTAGTTTGAAAGACTACCATCGAAGAGCATAACCAAATTTATCTCTAGCAGAACTGATTTAGCTTTGTACTAAAATACGCCTCAAACAATAATATGCTCGTTCATTGCATTAAGGATATTTGTTTTCTTCCTTGAGACAGATTTAAGGTTAGGACGGTGCCTCCGGCACCGAATGTGGCATCCACCGTTGGGTCTTTCGGGATCGGGCGGCGGGTGTTACATTAGTGCCTAAAATTCCCCACCACCCATCAGTGTACATAGAGACAATTTTTGAATTAAATAGATTTTCGACCAATTTCTGGAAAATAGGAAACACAGTATAAACTTCGGACTTAGCTTTTGATGGATAAAACCATATATATTTGGAGAAATGATAAACAAATATAAGATAATATTTAAAATTATCAACTGATTGGATAGGAGTAAGCCCCCACATATCAGAATATAATAACTCTAAAGGACGAGAACTAGATAAGGAAGAAACACCAAAAGCAAGCCTATGACTTTTATTACATTGGCAGGAATTACAAAGAGAGTCTTTAACGGCCGAAAATGGTAACTTAAAACGGGACAACACATAATTAAAAATTTTAGTAGTTGGATGTCCTAAACACTGATGCCAAAAAGTGGAAGGCACACAAACAATAAGATGAGCTGTTGGCAAAAAAGAGTGACTAGAAGATAAGAGACGATAAAGAGATTGATCAATTTGCCCTTTTGTGATTATCTCCCCCGTGGATAGATCCTTGACAACAAAACGATATAAAAGAATTTAATGGATACGTTATTAGAATAACAAAATTGAGACATGGATAAGAGATTGATTTGAGCATGAGGAACACATAACATATTGTGTAAAGAACAAGTTTTAGAAGGAAATGCTAGTGACCTAGAACCAACATGAGTTATTTTCAAACCTGAGCTATCTGTGAGCTGAAGTTCATCAATACCCTCATAAGGATCAGGAATAGACAGATTCTAGAGATTATTTGTGACATGATAAGAAGCTCTAGTATCAAGGATCCAATCATTATCCAAGGAAGCCTTAGTGTTTGTATGATTGGCTTGCGGCTGGGGAAAATGACCTCAAAAATAATTTTTGGCATGAAACCACCGATGAGTAGTATGTCCAGGTTTATCACAAATTTGACATTGTACTTTTTGAATTATTATTGCCACACCTAAAGTGAGAATTGGCACTGTTACCAGTAGCATACCCAGGATTGTGAGGACCTTGTGAATGTGAAACATCAGCAGCAACAATATTAGAAGATGAAAAACCAAAATTATCTTGATGATAATTTTGTTTTGGTGAGAAACTCTTCCGAGCAACATTGACAGTCATTAGAATGGGATCATAGGACGGATCAACTCTTTTGAGATATAATTCATGAGCCAACAGCTTACTTGAAGCTCTTCAAATGTGATAACAGTATCCCTTGAATGTACAGCCGCAGCTATATCACGGAACTTAGTACTAATGCCATTCAACACATAGACCACCAATTCAACATCAGAAACAGGGTTGCCACAAAGAGCAAGTTCATTAGCCACATTCTTGAGAGAATGCAAATACTCAGTTACTGATTTGGTGTCCCTTTTTGTATTGGAGAGTTTTTCTCCAAGAGAAAGAACCCTTGTAGTCGATTTATTAGCAAATGAAACCTGAAGTTTTTCCTAAGCATACACAGAAGTCTTTGCATTGGAAAAAAATATGCATAACTGAGAAATGGGTTGACACAAACAAAGTTGCCAAAATCAACTGATCTTGACAATACCGAAATTCAAAATTAGGATTGCTTAATTCCTGGCCATCTTTAGTAATTATGGTAGCAGCGGGTTTATTCGTCCCATCTACATAACTAAGAAGATTGTGCCCACGAAGTAGTGGAGAAACCTGAGCATGCCAAGTAGGATAACTTTGAGATGTAGGTTTGAGAGGAAATTGGGTAGCTTTAATAGCAATTATAACCATTCCAGAAGAATGAGTGATATTGGAATTGGTTGACAGAGCCATAGCAATGACAAATAAAGATTAATTATAGGATCGAAAAAGCTTAGAGCTTATTGCCCTGTTACTATAAAGAGAACTGAAAGAGATTGAACTGCAACAAAGAATTGTATTCTGTATTAATTAAGGCTCCGTTTGTTTTCATAAAATTTCTTGCAGGAAAATATTTTTTATGATTTTCCATTATTTGGGGCGTTTAGAAAATAAGTCAATAGAAAATATTTTCCTAGTCAAAGAAAAATTAAGTCATTTTTAAGGAAAATAACTTTCCATTTTCAAGAGTGTAAAATATTTTTCGAGCATTAACAAACCTATTATAACCTTATAAATCCATGTTTTTTAATTTATTAACCATCAATTGCCACTACCACCAGTTACCGTTCACCACCAGCCACCACCATCATCACCGCCTACCGTCGGCCATCACCATCGGTCACCTAGGACTTTTATAATTTACCTTTTTTTTTTGCATTCTTCTTATATTTAACAATACAATTTTTAAAATGCAAAGTTTCTATTATTATTAATATTTTTATACTCTTATGAGTTAAAAATTTTAATAGTTTTAACTAATTTTCAATAATGCAACCAAACAATGAAAAATAAGTCATTTGGAGAATACTTTTCAAGGAAAACATTTTTCTTAGAAGATATTTTTTAAAGATAAGTTATTTTTTGGAAACAAACGGAGCCTAATCATCTGAAGTTATATTTTACAATGATTAATATGTTTACAACTGATCCATATATTTGTGTTCTATATTTGAATATAAGAATGAGATAATAACAATAACAATAAGCTAGCTATACTCCACCATATTTGAATTTAAATTATTTAATTTGTTTTCCATTTGATGAGAAATATCAGGAGGTTTAACATTTGAAACACAATCAATGATTATTTGGTTTTTATATCCATTCCTTTCTTAACACTCTCATTTTTTTATTATCATTTCTTAATATTTGACTTCTAAATAACGAATGGGGATCTTATGTTTTTATATATATGCTTGAGACTAAGGGAGAAGTATAAATGATTTTGTTCCCCGACAACCTAGAATAGTTTTGGAAATACAAAGTTAAAAGAAGTGCACTAATTAATAATCTTGTAATTAAACACCATAATTACCAACATATGGTCTCCTGGAGGATGATTAAGCTTAAACTTTTGGGTCTTAATTGGTGATTAAAATAAGTAATTGGTGTTGGGTTGGGAGTTCAAAGTGGTGCATTGTCTCCTCTTTAACTAGTGCTTCCACTAATGCTTTTTTATTTGATTTCTTCTTTAGGCCACTCACCATGTTTCAATTTGACTTTTCATGGTGATGAAAGCCTAAATATGAGGATCATATAATAACTATTGCTCATCAAAAGTGCTGTTTGGTACCACGGAAAATGGAAAAATCTTTCATGGATGGAATTTTCCATTAGGGTACCCCCACACCACTACTTAATGGTCAAGAGCACAAAATTCCAATTCAATGAAAGTGACAATACATCCCTATTTAGCCCTTTCCTTTTGCTTCTTAAAACAGTAATTTTTTTATCATTTTTTTTCTTTAAAAACTATTTAAATTTGGAAAAATCAGTTGATTGCATGAAAATAGAAAATTTTTCAAAAAAAAAAAAAAAAAAAAAAAAAAATCAAATAAAATTATATGGCGAGCTAAAAAGTTGGTCGTTGGTGTTATATGTGGGAGTTCAAATTGAGGACGGGGAATTGCAGGTTCCTTCGAGATAACTCCTTTCTTATTCAACTATTAGCGATGCTAATTGGTTAACGCGTCTGGAATCTCATATACATATATATATATAAAATCCTGATCGAATACTTAGCATTCGCACTTCATTGGAGGAACTCCAGCGTCAGCCAACTTGTATCTTCTTTACCATACTTTGGGAGCTTTTCTTCATGGTGGAGTGAAACTGCCCTTAAATATGAGGATCATTATAGGATAGCGAGCACATTGATCTTCAACTGGACAAACATGTTCGCTGTATGTTACGATGGACTTTACCGGACAGGTTACAGGAAAACTGGATAAAGATACTCCTATTCAATGAGAGTTGGTGAAATATTCCTCCATTAGGGGAGGGGGTTGGTACCCCAATCACCACTAACAGGCTTATAAGTGCGCGGCTCTACAGAGCACAACTCCACGGATTCCAATTTCAATGAAAGTGACCAATGACATACCCTATTTAAGGACCCTTCCTTTTTTGCTTCTTAAAACATTTAATTTTTTTATCATTTTTTTTTCTTTAAAAACTAAATTTAAATTTGGAAAATCAGTTGATTGCATGAAAATAGAAAATTTTCATAAAAAAACCAGTTGGCAAAAAAAGAAAAACAACCCTATATAAGTAACAGAGCGCTTCACTAATTTTTGAATGCTAAGAGGAGCTTGGGGGAACTATTTTCAGCAGGTCTTTGTGTTCTTTCCCATTTCATTTCTTTCCAACATCTTATGCCTTTATTGTTCTAATGGAAGTTGAAATTTGTGACCGACTGAGTTAAACTCTTGGAGCTTTAACAAAAAAAAGAAGAAAAAACTAGCTATATTTATTGCATTGGACTACTTTTGGCCACATTCATTTGTGGAAAAGTTCCATTTCCACGTCCTTTTACAAGATATTTCATCATTAGATTTATATTTGAGTCCTACTCTGGTGTACAAGTCTTATTAGGTATTATTTGTCAGCACCAAGTGTGGCAACATGTTCAGTGACCTCTTAATTTAATAATAATTTCTTATCTACATATGGATCCAGAAATGTACTATTTCATTTTTTAAAGGGAAATTGAAAGATTAAAGTTATCGGTATAATTAGGAGGGTCTATGGAATACCTCAATTAATTACGTCCTTGAGAAATCCTTAACTTTTTAAAAGATGGCTTATACGTTAATTGCATTTGTTCTAGTTTATCCAGCTCTTACTGGGGGAAAGGGTGATTTCTGATGCGAATGGGAACTCTATTTGTCAGATTTAGTGACTGAATCCGTTTCTGGCGGAGTCAGTACCTAACTATATTATCCTTTTCAGGACATATAAAAGGCAGATGACCCGGGCGTCTCTCACCAGTGTTAGCTTCATTGGAAGTGAACTTTAATAAGCGTTCCAAGCAAACGCTTTGCACGATCCCTCTTACTGAACCGACTTTTTATGCGCGCTTTGTTTTTATCTTTCCACTAGATTATTCTGTTTCTCTAAGGAGCTTTCGCTGCAGTTCCTTGGTTAATAACTTGTGAGCACATGCAACATGGTGCACTTAGAAAACATTTATTCAATTTCTAATATTTTGTAAATGCGCTTATTTGATGTGTGCGAGGCAGTGCCTTATCATTAGAACTCTTCATATATTAAGGCTTGAATGATAGTGAGTTTGACAAAAAAATTTCATTACTGTTTCACGCAATCTTTTTGACGTGCTCGGCGACATACCAAAAGCTATGCGTATTATTTAATTTTGTGAGTCTTTCATACCCTTCAAATTATAATAGATGCGAGGTGGTAAAGTTCTCTCACTCACAACTAGCAAGTCTTAATTGACTCTATTGGAATTCACAAGTTCATAATATTCCCAACAACAACAGTAAAGGATAATTCGTAGGAGGGCTGGAGGCTTGAGGTAGTCTTTCCATTCTTCGCATGAACCTTCTCTCGCTAGAAGGCGTTCGAGACAATAAGGACATTTTCTATTGTTTATGTATATGTTAAGGAAAAAAAATAATTCTTTGAGCCTACCCGAGTCTCTCGGTTATCCAAGCGTTGCGTTACCATCTAATTTTGAGATGTGAAATTGAACAATTACTAGCCATTTTGGTAGTGTGGTTTCTTGTTTTTCCTTTATCCAAAACACGCTTTGTTAGCTAGCTTTTTTTAGCTAAGTATTCGGACAGGCTCGGTTGGACACTTTAGCACTATAACTGTTTTAATTAAGTAGGCCATTAAACTAATTAACGTCTTACTCCTTAAAATGACTTTGTATAGGCATATCTGTAAGTTCGTAGCAGGTTCCGTTATATTCGCTAATGGCTAGAATCATATAAAAAAAGGCTCGGCTCAGAAGAAGACTCTCTCTGAGATGTTGTTTGATTGCTCACGATATCATTTTAGCCAATGTATTCGTTGTTCGTGGTGAAAAAAAAAAAAAAAAAAAAAAAAAAACTTCACTAATATAGTAAGTAGTGATATCCACACTTATGCCTTTATTTTCTATGGAAGTGAACTGAATGGTTATTGACTTAAAAAAAAAAAAACTATATTTATTGCATAATACTTGTCACATTTGAAATTTCAAGTCCTTTAAAAAAATCATTAAATTTATCTAAGTTACAATAAATTATTGAGCAAATTAACTGTACTACTCTTAATTTAATACTAATTATTTAAGAAAATTATTAAATTGAAGTAATAATTATTGGTTATATACAAAAGTTAATAACTTAACTTTTTAAAAGTGTTAATTCTTTTTGAGTACTGGGGGAAGGGGATTCGAACCTGAATCTATTTGTCAAGCCGCATATACACTTATCACTAGGCTATGCCTTGGTGTATAAAAATATTAATTTAAATGCACTAAAACTATGTTTTTTTTTTTTAATAATTTTAAGAGCGTATACTCTACACATCAACATGGTGCACTTAGAAACATTATTAATTTCTAATATTTTTAATGCGCTTATTTATTGAAGTCAAATTTGATTTTATATAAAAAAAATTTCATATTTACCAATTTTTTTTTGAAGAGAGCTCTATTATTTATTTAATTTTATCAATTATTTGGGTAATTATATAAAATTTAATATGAAAAAGAAAAAAAAATCAGCTAGGTTTTAGACTCAGAGACAAAAAAATTAGTTTGGGTAAGAAAAAAAAATTAATTTTTACCGGTACATATATTAGAGATTGAAAATAAATTTTAGCTTTTGTTTTTCTTTTATCAAACACTTTGTTAGCTCTTTGGTATTTCGACGGCTCATCATTACCTTTAAAAGCCAAAC